ACAGTAGAGCAGTTAGGCTGGGTGAGATTGACCTACGTGTAGGAAATGGAGCAAAAGTTGCTGCTAAACGTGTAGGGACTTATATATTAGATTTACCCAGTGGTTATAGATTAGAACTAAATAATTGTTATTTTGTTCCTTCTATAACAAAGAACATAATTTCCATTCCTATGTTAGACATTGAGGGTTTTTCTTTTCATTTTGCTAATAACACTTGTTGTTTTTCACAAAATGGTATTGTGTATGGAAATGCTCCTCTTATGAATGGTTTATATGTTCTTAATTGTAGACATGACATATTAAATGTACAAAATAAAAGACCAAGGTTAAGTAATCTGAAAAATACCACATATCTTTGGCATTGTAGGCTTGGTCATATTAATGAAGCCAGAATAGCAAGGTTAAGTAAATTAAATTACTTAACACCTTTTGATTTTGAATCATATGGTAATTGCGATTCGTGTCTCTCAGCTAAAATGACGAGTAAACCTTTTCTTGGAAAAGGACTACGGGCCAAAGAAGTGCTTGAATTGGTTCACACAGATGTGTGTGGACCATTCCCAACTCAAGCTAGAAGAGGTTTTTCTTACTTCATCACGTTTACTGATGATTTCTTTAGGTTTGGATTTGTGTATCTTATGAAACACAAATCAGAAGCTTTTGAGAAATTCATGGAGTATAAGGCTGAAGTAGAGAAGCAACTTGACAAGAGTATCAAGACTCTACGATCTGATCGTGGAGGGGAATACTTGAGTAAGGAGTTTCTTGATTACTTAAAAGGTCAGGGAATTCAGTCACAATGGACTCCTCCAAGAACACCTCAATTGAATGGTGTTTCTGAAAGGAGAAATAGAACCTTGTTAGACATGGTTAGGTCCATGATGAATTCCACGTCTCTTCCAACATCTCTTTGGAGGTATGCATTGCAAACTTCGATATACATTCTGAATAGAGTTCCATCTAAATCAGTGCAAAAGACACCATATGAGTTATGGTGTAATAAGAAGCCTGTTCTTTCACATATTAAAGTGTGGGGTTGCCCTGCTTATGTAAAGAAATTGCACACTGATAAGTTAGGAGCTAGAAGTGAGAGATGTTATTTTGTGGGGTATCCTAAAGAAACTAGGGGATACTATTTCTATCATCCTGAGGAACATAAAATCATTATTTCCAGACAGGCACGATTCCTAGAAGAAGACTTGGTCTTCAAGAAATTCAATCGTGAGAAGATAGTACTAGAAGAAATTCAAGAATCACAAAATAACATAGAGGATGAAGACTTGTTAGATGGTCAAAACAAGGATTCAGTGGGCGGATTAAGCGGAAGTATGTCTCTAGGAGGATATCCTTCAGCTAGTGGGAGTAATATAGGAAACACCTCGCACCAGCAAGTGGTTCCTATTAGGCATGAAAGAAATGACATGGTTGTCATTCCTTCTGCACCTACTTCTCCTTCTCTGGAAACACTTAAAAGTGTAGCACCAGAAAATTCTTCGAGCATTGGACAGTCCAATGAAAGAGAACATCTTCACAATCAGAATGAGCAGCCTGAACAATCTCAAAATATTCAACTTCGTAGGTCTACTAGGATTCGTCATGAACCAACTAGGTTTGGCTTCCTCATGGAGGATCATGATGATGTTGAAATTCCTGACAAGGATGAACCTAAGACTTACACTGAAGCAATATTAGATATTGATTCAGAGAGGTGGCGAGAGGCCATGAAATCTGAAATGGACTCGATGTATATCAATCAAGTATGGAACTTGGTTGACTTGCCTGTTGGGGTTAGACCCATTGGATTTTCAAGCAAATGGGTTTTCAAGAAGAAAATTGATGCCGAAGGCAAGGTGCAAACATACAAAGCTAGGCTAGTGGCTAAAGGTTATAGTCAAAGAGAGGGAATTGACTATAGTGACACCTATTCGCCAGTTGCAAAACTCAAGTCCATTCGAATTTTGCTTGCGATAGCAGCATACTATGATTATGAGATTTGGCAAATGGATGTCAAAACTGCTTTCCTTAATGGAAACCTCAAGGAGGAGGTGTACATGGTACAACCTGAAGGTTTTATATCCAAGTCAAATCCCAAATCAGTATGTAAATTGGAGAAATCCATATATGGGCTAAAGCAAGCCTCAAGGAGTTGGAATATCCGTTTTGATGAAGCGGTCAAATCGCTTGGCTTCATCAGAAGCAATGAGGATGTGTGTGTGTGTATACAAAACGCAGCAAGGATAGCGTGGTCTTTATGGTCATATATGTTGATGACATTCTGATCATAGGGAATGATATCCCCTTATTGAAGTCCGTGAAAGAATGGTTATCCAATATCTTCATGATGAAAGATCTAGGTGAAGCCTGTTATATCCTTGGGATTAAGATCTATAGAGACAGAGTTAATAGGATGTTGGGTCTTTCACAATCCACGTATATTGACAAAATACTACATCGATTTAAAATGGAAGAATCTAAGAAAGGATTCCTCCCGATGGGTCATGGGATATCGTTATCAAAGAAGGATAGTCCTTCAACTGATGATGAGATCAAAGGCATGAGAGGGATTCCATATGCTTCTGCAATTGGTTCAATCATGTATGCTATGATCTGTACTAGGCCAGATGTGGCTTATGCGCTTAGTATTGTTGGTCAATATCAAAATAATCCAGGAGAACGGCATTGGAGTGCTGTTAAGACTATTCTTAAGTATCTTAGACGAACTAAAGAATATTTCTTGGTTTATGGTGGACAAGAGAAACTAATAGCATCTGGTTACTCTGACGCTAGCTTCATGACAGATAAGGATGACTATAAGTCACAATAAGGATATGTTTTTAATCTCAATGGAGCAGTAGTAGACTGAAAGAGTTCCAAGCAAGACACTACAGCTGATTCGACAACAGAAGCCGAGTACATTGCTGCATCAGAAGCAGCAAAAGTGGCCGTATGGATACGTGAATTCCTCAAAGAATTAGGGGTTGTTCCAAATGACAGTCGTCCAATAACCATTTATTGTGACAATACTGGTGATGTTGCACAAGCAAAGGAACCAAGATGCGACAAGAGGAATGGACATGTGCCGAGGCGCTATCATGTGATTCGAGAGCAGATAGCAAGAGGAGAGGTTGCAATAGAACGTGTTTCCACTGAGGACAATTTGGCTGATCCCTTCACCAAACCTTTGAGTTGTGAGAAACATACTAGACATTTTGAGAATCTAGGTGTTAGACGCATTGGTGATTGGCACTAGGCCAAGTGGGAGATTGTTAGTATATATGTCCTAGCGACAATCATTTCTTTAAAGACATATGTACTTGATCACATTTAGTTTTTATATTTGATATATACACGGTATTACACTTTATGAATGATTGTTTTCGATTGTCAATGTTTTATTCATAATTGTGTTCCCTTGGATTTATGTTGTCAATAAGTAAGTGGGAGCTTATATGATATAACATAAGGTCCTAAAATAGCCCCAATCAATGATCATCAAGAATGGGATATTGATGATATACGATAAGATTGGTATGTGGACTGCATCATACTTTTAGAAAGTATAGTTGATCTCACGACTATGAGTTCCTGTAATTCATGATGGTCACATAGATATTTTAGAGAATATTGGCATACCCACCGAGAAACCATTTGATAAGTTCTATTCATGTGTCTATGGGATTATCGGCGTATAGAGTAGTGTAATAGTCCTCCGACTTGAGGTCAATACGTACTACATGTGCGGAGTGATGTACTTTGATCATGACCAACGCTTGCACTCCAATCGGGGTAGATACGGCATGTGTTGTGTGCATCACGAAGCACATGGAGTAGTAGTTGAGCCAAGAAAGGATTCATTCCTCATAATAGATTAAGAGAGAACATTCTACTTCTCATATCTAGATGGATCATAAAGTCATTGGCCAATGCAAAGATATATTCGTTTTGGATATCGAATATGATCGTTATGGATCATCTAGAAAGATTGAGAGACAGAGACTGAGTTATTGGGATAGACACTATATCATGTTCTAGACTTAGTTGAATGTTCGCTGAATGAAAGGACCGTATCACTATAAGCTCTATATTACAGGGAGTTTGTATAGTCCTCGCAAACGTCCTTATATATTAAGTTTGTCTGGAGAATCGTCTAGGGATTTGCTAAGACCTTAATTTGATTAGTGCTTAATATATAAGGCCCTATGGGTCACACAACAAGTGATTATACCTTCCGATTGAATTGTTAGAAGGAATTAAATATTATTAATTGGATTAAATAATATTTAATTCGTAATACTGAAAATGAATTAAATATTAATTAGATTAAACATATTTAATTCATGAAGCTGAAGGAGAGTTCTATTTGATAGAATTAATTAAGTAAGATAAATTAGATTTATCATACTTAATTAAGATGTATTTATTATTAAATAAAGTAGATATTTTCTTTTGTAATTTGGAATTAAAAGAAAAGTAAATAAAATAAATATTAATACATAATAATTAGAAAGTGGCGTGCAGCCACATCTCAATTATTATTATTATTATTTTGTTTTGTTTTATCTACTTATTTAATTAATTAGGAGTATTGGTACTAGTAGGATTAGAACTCATTAATTAGAAAGACTTTCATTGTGATTGGGAAACTAGTTTCGAACTAGTATAAATACATCCTTCTCCTTCATAATTTGTAGACCAGTTTTCAGACTCAGTATTAACAGTTTATTTCTCTGCGAAGAGATTTCCTAGCCTTTCTCTTAGGGAGATCTAATCGTTCTTTCGGGAAGGAGAAATCACGTGGATACCAAAGGTCAAGGATTATCACCGCTAGGCTGGAAGATCTGTAAGTTCTAACTCAGATCTGTTATTATTATCATATTCGTTATTTTGTCATAATCAGGGAAGATCTGTTTGGAAAAATTTTAAACTTCCGCTGCCGTACTTTCGAGGTACGTTACATCAATTTACCAACACTTGCCGCACAGCCACTGCCCTCCCCAGCCCCCTCACAAACCTCAGCCCAACCTCGATGCATTCCCCTATCTCGAGTATCCCGACAACCACCCTACCAGCCCCTTTCATAGCCCCCCTCACCTTCCCGACCAAGCCTTCTTCCCAGCCCCTTCCCCAGTTGCTCTAGCCCCTTTCTCCCTAAGGCAAAAATTTCATATCTGTGAAAAAATGAGATCAGCGACGAATTTGTTTAGTCCAAAGGCGGATTTGTTCTGTCCCAAGGTGGTCGACAGATTTGACCCAGTCACGAAACTAGTCGTGGACCACCTGATTTTCTCCTGTTGCATTGATGAAGCTTGAAGACGAAGTTTCTGTTACCGCCAAATTAGAAGCTCGTCATCGAATTTGTGCACAAGCTTGCTGCTAGTTTTGATTCGGCGAGAGAAGGAGAAGAATCCTTCGTCAGTGCGTTGCTCAATGGTGGTTGTGGCGGCATAGGTGTTGTGTGTTGGCTGGAGATTGGATGGCTTGGAGCAGGGAAGAAGATAGAAGATCTGTAGATATGTGTGAGGGAGGCAGATGGAGCACACGTGCAAGCTGCGTAGATTTTGATCGGGGGAGAAACATTGGTCACTGTTTTGTAAACTTTAAAAGAAATCATATTTATGTCTATTAAAACCTTATAGGTTATATTTATGTCTATTAAAACCTTATAGATTTTTGAGATGGATTTTTGTTAAATTAATAAATTTTGTATGTTAATTATTTTAATATTGTGTGCTCATTATTAACATGAGTTTTGTGTTACACTGAAATGAGCATAGTGTAAAAATAAAATGTGCATGAGTAAACATTATAAAAAGAATATGGTTAATTTTGTAATTCAAGAATTACAAATTATAAATTATTTTGAAACTATAATTTATTATATATCATTGTTACACGAATGCATATTTGAGCAGATTAGAGATTTTAAATGAGCTTTTCAATTTTTCAGTGCTCATTTTATAATTTATGTATACTCAGTCAGGATGATTGTTATGTTCATTTTAAAATGTCATATCAATGGTGATAAACTAACATGACAAGATTTGAGCTTACTCACCTAATCTCAATGTTCAATAGTAGAAAAGATGTTACTCAATGAAAATATTTTGATGTTAAAATGAGGTTTTTAAATTATGTATACTCAATTGCAGAGTTCAAGTGCTCTATAGAGAGTGTTTGATGCTCAATTAAAATGTTATACATATATGATGATCACCATTTTCAAAAATATGAACATTGCTATAACATTATAAAATGAGTAAAAAAAAAGTTTTATGCTACTACACCCAAGTAAGTATAATATTTACACGAAATGTACATCAGTATAACGTTTTAAGATAAGTACTATTTCAGTTGACTATTCAATGGAGATTTTTTATGCTCAATAGGTTTAGAATTTTTTGTGCTCAATTGCAGAGTTTCAATGTTCAATAGATGAAAGTTGATGCTCAATAGAGGAGTCTTTTATAGATATAATTAAAAAAAATTATATAGAAAAAAAAATAAGAAAAAGAAAGTGAATCAGAAGTTAGGAAGCAGAATTCACGATGCTCAACAATACTCAACAGAATAGCTTTGATGCTCATTAAAAGTTCATTAATGTTCATTTAACAGAAACCGTGATTTTCATTTCAATATAGGAAGTTTGATGCTCAATGAAAATTGTCATGTTAAACTAACAAACCTTACGATTTTCGTATCAATAAACATTTTGTAATTTACGTATGCTCAGTTGGTACTGATGCTATGCTCGTTTTAAAATTTCATATCAATGCATATTTTAAAAGCATCATATTACATTAAATTCGGCATATTGAAATTCATAGGAGTGTATTATAGTTATAAATTAATATGACTCCGGAGTTATATGGGACTCCATAAATTTACTCTACAACTGATGCCTCACTTCTAATCCTATTGACTGGATATTATTAGTTCATGTAGAAATGCAGACTTGAATATCAAAGAAGTAATAATTTGCACCAAAATAGGATTAGTGGTCAAATGATAGACATGCAGTTGAATAGCATTACTTCTTAGAAACCGTTACAAAAAAAGACTGATACGTTGAAGAAGAAGAAGAAGAAACAAATCTTTTAAATCCAAGACAAACAACATCGTTGTAATGAGTGCCGATGAGTTACAAGATTAAGTATCTCACTGTTTAAAAAAAGCAAATAAAAGTACAATCCAGAACTTATTCTGAGAAATTTCACCTCAATGCATGCAAGCAAGAGTTTATGAGAGTATTCATGACGATTATGTGTTTGATACACAGACACAACATGTCAATAAACAATCCGTGTTAAATTGGATAAAACATCTGCCATCAATGGCCTTTCCCCAGGGTTTACTTGGATGCACTTATAAGCTATAGAGACGGCAACTTTAGCTTCTTTCATTGGATAACATCTGATCCTTGGGTCCATAATTTGGATAATTGATTTTTTTCTCAGGGGCTGCCAACGGTACTGAGGATGAATAGAGGACATCGACCTTCCCGATAGCAGCTCTAACAACACCATCCCAAAGCAATACACATCACTTTTTTTTGTACATGTACCTGATGAGGACAAAGATGTGACTTTTTATACTTCATGTGTATAATAACAATTTTAGTGATCCTAGTTACGTTCCATCTTATATACAATTGTTGGGAAAACACAATCTCGACCTCTTCCAGGACACGAGTTCATAGAATTGTTGTACGCTCACCCACAAACACGTAATATCAAGACCCGACAATATTACTTTGTATTATACAATTGAGTTTACAAGATAAATTTTACAAGTAAATGAGAAGAAGCTCACTTCACTATTTATATTTGGGGCTACTTCACTCACATTCACATATGAGAAGCCTTCTTGAATTATCTTCTCCCACGCTCAAGAAAGCTCTTCACTCACACTCATCACTAGACATCCTCGTGATATCTGCTGAGTAATCTAGTTGGCTGCTGGCGTGGATTATGCAGAGAGTTGCTGATATTTATTTATTTGTTTTGGTATTTTAATTTCAGTTTGTAAAGAAGAGACTTGGTCTCAGTTTGTTACTTTGTTCCTACAAATATGCAGTAGTGGTCTAGTGGATAGGAGTATCACGTTGATTGCTATTGTTCAGTTATTTATATGCTTAATGAAACATCAGAAAAGGCTGTGAGTTTGCAGCACAAACTACCTTTGTTACTTTCATGTTTTCTCTAGCCAATTTATTTTAGTATCAGAGCCTAACAATGGCTTCACACGGATCAAGAACACCACCTCGAACTCGTGGACGCAGTCAATCTAGGGCACGCGGCCGTGATGGTACTGTTCATTAAGTGGTGAGAGAAACAAACAGTATGGTCTATCCTATCTTGACTCGTACGAACTATGTTGAGTGGTCCTTAGTGATGAGGGTCAACCTGCAAGCACAAGGGCTGTGGCGAGCGGTTGAAGATGAAAATGTCAATTATAGGGAGGATAGGCAAGCCTTCTCTGCAATCTTACGGGCAGTACCACCCGAAATGCTATCAACATTAGCTGTGAAGGACACTGCAAAGCAAGCATGGGATACGATTAAAACACAACGAATGGGAGTTGATCGTGTTCGGGAAGCCAACGCACAGAGGCTTCGGATGGAATTTGAATCAATCAGGTTCAAGGATGGTGAAACTGTTGATGATTTCTCCATGAGGATCACCAGTCTCGTGAACAACATGCAAGTTCTCGGGGACACGGTGGAAGAGGAACGGGCTGTGAAGAAATTCCTACGTGTTGTACCACCACGGTACACGCAAGTAGCAATTGCGATTGAAATGTTGCTTGAACTAAGCACTCTGTCAATTGATGAACTTTCTGGAAGGTTACGGTCGAAAGAGGAGCGTTATGGGATTGGTGAGCCGGACACCAACCCGGGTGCTCAACTCCTTCTTACGGAAGAGGAATGGCGAGCACGAGAAAGGGAACGTGAGAATACTGGATGATCATCAAGTAGTGGAAAACCAAAAGGTTACGTTCGTGGGAACGCTCGTGATAAAGGTTTTGGAAAAGAGAAGTGTTATAATTGTGGAATTTCAGGTCATTTTGCTAGAGAATGTCGAAAACCACGACGGGAATGGAAGCAGGAGGCACATTTAAGCATGTTTGAAGATGATCAGCCTGCTTTACTCATGGCATCAACAACAAACATGTGTAGTCCAGCTCATACAGAAACCTCAGGTGACTCCCATTATGTGTACTTGAATGAGGAGCATGTCCATCCAGTTCATACAGGGAAGGATGTATGGTACTTTGACACTGGAGCTAGTAACCATATGTCAGGATGTCGTGAAATGTTCATGGTGCTAGACGAATGAGTAAAAGGCTCAGTTAAGTTAGGTGATGGCTCGGTGGTAGAAATTTGTGGCCGCGGGTCTGTAATGTTTCTGTGTAAAACCAAAGAGCACAATGATGTTACCGGGATTGCGCAGTAACATCATTAGTATTGGGCAACTTGATGAGAATGGATGCAAAACAGTGATTGAAAATGTTACATTGTGTCTGTTTGATCGGAAAAGGGTTCTATTAGCACAAGCTAAGTAGCACTGGTACAGAAACGGAAACGGGGACGGAAACAGAGATGGGGAAACTCTAATGTCAAAATATCAAGATACGGGTACAGCGAGGAAACGTCGAACTAAAAAATAAAATTTTACTAATATTATAGATAATGTTTACGTCCAACAAATAAAAAATAAATAAACAAAACATATGTGCTTGGTTATAGGGAGTAATACATTCCAAATGCATAATAAACAAAATGAAAAAGTAAATGTTTCATCAAATTCGGCCCATTAAATCAGACCAGCACTTGCTGGAAAGTGGAAACAAGCCTCTCACCCAAATACCCAATTACGCACCATCCAGGAACGAGCAAACCAGCGGAAATAGATGCCTCACCAACTTCAGCCGGCCACTCCGTCCACCAGAATCGCCTATTCTGCGTCATGCGAGCATGTGCGCTTCACCTATGCTTTTTCCCGTCAAGGATTCAGTCGCTCGCAGACCTCACGGTAGCAGTTTCGCAGGTGCTATTTAAACTTTCAGTCTGCCGATTGGGAGTACGATTCATTGACCCATTTGAGCGAGCCAAATTCTTTAAAAAAATTACAAGAAACGCGTCAGCCAACTACAAATCGCGTTTCCGAAACGTTTCCAGGCTCAGGCCCAAAAGCCCACGACTGCAGAAACGTTCCCATCGTTTCTGAGCCGTTTCTGGCCGTTTCCAGGCGTTTCACGTTTCCAAAACGTTTCCGGGACGGAAACCTCCCCTTGCTTGGCATTTCCGTGCTTCCTAGAGCACAAGTGCCTCGAGCCAAGAACATGTTGTATACTGTGACTTTAGAGTTGGCTTCTGCAGTATGTTTATTATCCAAAGTAAATGATATTGCATGGTTATGGCATGCTCGCTATGGTCATTTGAATTTCCGTTCCTTACAAAATTTGGCACAAGGAGGATTTGTTGGAGATTTATTGAAATAAAGCTCAATTGTTACATTACATGGTCCTTAATCATTTTATAAATAAATGATGTGATTTATTAAAATGATTTATTGAAGTATAATATTAATATTATATATTATGAGGATCATTTAGTGCACGTAACTTTTATGGTCTCATAATAATTACTTTAATAATATTACTATGCGTTTGCACTTATGTGCTTATTTCTTTAAGTATTAAATACTCATATGTGTTTTAATAGATCCGGCTTTATAACTGCTTTTGCATGTGTGGGCATTCTTTTATTAAATGGATTTTCTTAATATTAAGAAATGTGTGTGTCCTTTGTGAAAAGTTGCACCGTTTCTCTGAAGAAGGCTTAGCCGTTTATTCGTATGAATATAACGGTTGGTGCAGCCCTTTTAAGATACATTATTTTTCTCAATAAATAGGAGAGGAGTTGAGGACCATGAAAATATATAGATATATCATTCAACCAATTTGATCGTGTACTTGCCCTTACTTTATTTTATTTGTCTGCAGCGATAGAATTAAAGTACTTAGACTACTTAATATACAATCACTTGTTCGGTGTTATTTTATCGGTAACTAAAATACACCATACACCTTCTTTTTATCCCAAAAGTTCTATCTTGTAACCCGGTTACTGTGATAAGGGTAGATAGTAAACTTTTAGAAAAGCGTATTTATACGTGACTAGAAGTGATATCCCGTCCGGTCATATTTATACACCCTTATTTTACTAATTTTATCCTCCGGTTCTAACAATCTAAAAGTTTACTATTTCGCAAATATGGCCGCTACGCAACGTGATATCAACACCAATTTTCAAAAATTGGAAAAGTTTGAAGGTGTGGAGTTTCGAATGTGGTAGAAAAAGATGCATTTTCTGCTCACTACTTTGAAAGTGGTCTATGTGTTAAGCACCCCGAGGCCGCCCGAGGAAGAAGAAAATGAGTCTTTGGAAACAAGTTGCTGCAGCATAAAGTGGGATAATGACGACTACATTTGTCGTGGGCACATTTTAAACGGTATGTGCGATTCTCTTTTTGATGTTATCAAAATGTTGAATATGCTAAAACGTTGTGGGAATCTCTAGAATCCAAATATATGACCGAAGATGCTTCAAGTAAGAAATTTCTCATTAGTAACTTTAATAGTTACAAAATGGTGGATTCTCGTCCGGTCATGGAGCAATTTCATGAGATTCAATGTTTGTATGATCAACTTTTGATTCATAACATGCATGTTAATGAAACCTTTGCGGTCAGTTCAATAATCGACAAATTACCACCTTCATGGAAGGAAGTGAAAAATAGCCTCAAACGCAAAAAGGAGGATTTGTCAATGGAGCAACTTGGTCACCAACTTCAAATTGAAGAACACATTAAGTTGCGTGAAGGTGACAATGGTAAAAAGAACGACCTTCCAATTTCCTCTATAAATGTTATGGAGGAGGGACAGTCAAGTGGGACTAAGAAAAATAAAAAACGTCCCGGGAAATTCACCAAAGGTTCCAAGTTTCAAAAGAAGCTGAAAGATAAGAAAGTAGGCTCTTGTTGGGAATGTGGTGGTCCACATTTCAAGAGAGACTGCCCGAAGGTGAAGAAGAAGGCTCAACCGAACGGTCATCCAAACGGTGACCAAGACAACCAAGGTCAGAATCTTTTTTATAGTTACAAATGATTTTTATAACAACATGATTTTTGTTATATTCTTAATCGAGTTCCTAACAAGAGAAATAAAATAACCCCATATGAACTCTGACACAAAAGAACACCCCAACTAAGTTATCTTAGGGTGTGGGGTTGTAGGGCAATCGTGAGATTACCGGAACCTAAACGAAAAACGTTAGGTGAAAAGGGGATAGAGTGCATATTTATTGGATATGCTGAACATAGCAAATCATATCGATTCTATGTTATTGAACCGAATGACTCAATTGCGGTTCATACCGTTATTGAGTTTAGGGATGCTCTTTTCGATGAGAAGCGGTTCACTTCTATTCCTAGGCCAAAGAATGTTGAACTCGTTGTTGGAGATTTATTGAAATAAAGCTCAATTGTTATATTACATGGT